GCTACTGCTGCTACTACTACTGTTACTGCTGCTTGCTGCTGCTGCTGCAGGGCATTGTTTTATTAGGGCTAACAATCCGTTAATTGAGAGATAACGAGCTCTCCTTCTCTCTCCGTACAGATAGCTCTCATCTCGCGAAGATCAAGGCTGCAGCCGACGCTGATTATTACGCGACACTGAGGGAGGCAGACGCAAACAAGGTGTGTATAGCAAGGGATGGAGGGAGGGAGGGAGGGAGGGAGAAGGTGGCTGCTGTTAGTGGACTGGATTTCGGTGGGAGGGTGGGGGCCTGGATGGGGTAAAGTTTCCGGCGTAGGAAATCCACATTAGCACTGACACAGCAAACCGTTTGGAACTACGTATAAACAATGTATTTTGTTATACGCTTTGTTGTACTTTGTCGCCAACAGATGGCAGCACGTAGCCATTAGAGGCTCACAACCACGCTTTCGATTTGTTTTGCAAACTCCAACTGTTCGACCCTAACGGCGATAACCGAAGGTCGAATTCCGAGAAAGAAATTGGAAATGCCACGCTGCGTTACCCCAATTACAATTTATCATATTGATTTTTACTTTCAACATAAAAAACAAATCACAAAAATTATCGCTAAGATTCCCGACCCCCTTTCCGATTTCGTCGGGAGAGACAGCGGCTGATGATGATGATGATGATGATGATGACAATGACGATGATGATGACGATGATGATGAGGATGATGATGATGATGATGATGATGACGATGATGATGACGATGACGATGACGATGACGATGACGACGATGATGATGATGACGATGATGATGATGATGACAATGACGATGATGATGACGATGATGATGATGATGATGAGGACGAGGATGATGATGATGATGATGACGATGATGATGATGATGATGAGGACGAGGATGATGATGATGATGATGACGGTGATGATGATGACGGCGTACTTTCAGATCCTGCTCACGACGGAGTACATCAAGCTTAAGGAGCTTCAGGCCGTAGCCAACAACAGGAAAGTCTACTTCGGCACTGACATTCCCACAATGCTCATGGACAGTAGAATGCCGGAGGACGTCGCCGCGGCAACCGTCGCCGCGGCAACCGACCTCCCCGCCGCCGACGTAGAAAAGCAGCGGCGGGGGCGATGATGAGGGAGCCACCGGGCGCGGTGGGGAGCCACCGGGCG